CCAAAGCTAAGGTCTAGTTTACATTTGCATTGATATTTGGATATTAAACGGAACATCATCAAGTTCAAACTGACCCCTGTTATATTACATTACAGCAGAAGAGTGGTGTTTTCCATTAATTAAAGGAACGTGACGTAACCATCAGCACTAAGAATTCATGCATAGTTCACTACAGCCTGCCTCAGAGAGTGTCTCTGTCATTTCCTCCTAGATAATCTATGTGAGCAGAAACCCCAAAGACGTGGTTGTATCCTTTTACCATTTCCACAAAATGGCAAACTTTCTCCCAGAGGCGGAAACATTTGAAGAATTTTTAAAGAAATTCTTAATGGGCACATGTGAGTGAAGAAAAGATACTACTCTATATATGAATCTATAATCTGAAAGAAGACAGCTTTTTATCCCCTACACTTGTTTTCAGTGTCCTACGGCTCCTGGTTTGACCACGTCAAAGGCTGGACATGTCAGACAGCAACTTTGGAAAATCTGCTTCACCTCACTTATGAAGAAATGTCATTGGTAAAAAAAAATAAAAATAAAAAAAATAAAATAATAATAATAATAATAATAATAATAATAAGGAAACAGACAACTTACAAGACAAATATAATAGTTTACCTTTAAACATCTTAAACGAATCACATAGCGGCCACAGACATATTATTTATTTTTAACAACGTCACCTTCTGTGCTCAGGATCTACATGGTGCCATAAAGAAGGTCAGCTCTTTCCTACAGCATCCCCTGCTGGAGGAGGAAGTCAACAACTGTGTCCAACACTGCAGCTTCAGCAGCATGAAAAATAACAACATGGTCAACTACACTCTCGTCTCTGACCACATAATGGACCACAGCAAGGGCTGCTTCATGAGGAAAGGTGAGGAGCTTTTTCTCTCTCTGCAGATCTGCAGATTTTTCCATACGCTATTTGCAAAATCATATTTGTCTCCCCGCTTTTTCACATCAACTTTAACTTTTGGGAAGTACCAAATTTCTATTTTTTCACCTTTCCATTACTTATACTGTTCAATATTCAGTTTAAAGCTGGTCATTAAAACTGCTCCAATGTGATAACATTGCTGTAAAGAATGGTGTAGTTTGATTCAAAACGTTTAAAAACAGGTTGTCCAATTGATTTATATCCCAAACAAACTCTGTTAGAAACAGTTCAATTGATAATTAGAAGCTAATGATATTGACGGATGTGTACGAGGCTCTAATTACAGAGAGGGGAAACTTGTTATTAAAGTGATGAATTATTTGTTGTTGGACCAAATGCAACATTTTACATTTGATGCAACATCAAATCCTTGACAGAAACGGTCTGACTTTATATAATGCAAGGCCAAAATATTACTCTTAAAAATACTGGACTAATCCCTGACTAATATTTCACCCTGCTTCAATCCCTTCCTTTTGAAAACAAAACCAAAAGTTTTGTTGAAATCAAGGTGTTGTACAGTGACAATAAAACCACAGGCACAAAGCAACAGCAGACACAAAAGTCATCAAATGGTGAAATACACAAAAATCAATGAAAAACCAGAGATTTAAAAACAGGAAGGGAAAACCAAGAGCAGCTGATCAGCAGACTTCAGTGTCTGTGCAGGAAAATACGGCCACAGAAGGCCAGACAGGAGCCATACTATTTAAGCATTTGTATGCCCACAATGCCACTGAAATCAATCATTTGATACTCTGCGAGCCGGCGGATTGAGGATAACACAGGAGAAATATATTCATGCCTCCGTGCTCCAATCAGACGTCCGGCAGCAGCTTTTTGCCTCCAGTGAATATTCAATTCATCACTCATTCAATTTCCTGACATCTAGGTAAAACCGGTGACTGGAAGAACTTGTTCACAGAGGAACAGAACCACTATTTTAATGACTTCTTTAAATCCAACATGCAAGACTGTGCTTTAGACTTTGTTTGGGAGGTCCAGGATGAAGAGGAGGTGCAGGAGAATCATGAAGAGCAAGTTCCTGAAAAGAACCTTTGAAAAGGGTCCTTGAAGTATATATATATATATATATAAAACATGGTACTACTCGTTGATGATTTTATGAGTTGTGAAAATAAAATTGGCTTCATTTATAAATTCAGTGGTTTTTGCATGACTTGGGAAATGGGAAAACATACTGTTGGGCAGAGCTGTTTCAGTAATGTTAGGATAGTACTGTATGTGAACGGTGGAAATACTCTTATCCATAATACATGTATAAATAACCTTTAAACAACAACTCTTTATTTATACATCAAGTCAATTATTGTCTGTGTTCTTAGTTGCGAATACTTTATTTTTCATTTTACACACTGCTATAATCAGTAAACTGCTCGACTGTTGGGTCAAAACGGGTTCTAAAATTTGCCGGGGGAGGGGGTGCAGGAGCAGACAGATGGACTGTTGGTGTGAACTAAGATAAACGACAAGTCAAAATAGCCACAAATAAATGATTTTAACCTCACTGCTCCTCGTGGTGAAGTGACGGCTGATATTGTATTCTCTGAAAACCATAACAGTTTCTTGTCAAATCAGTACAGCCAATGATTGGACTTCAGTGAAAAAAAATCATTTGTTGTCCACTCCCTGTTAAACACTGTCCACTTCTTTCCTTTGGTCGGTGTATTTTTACTGAAGGTTTGGAGTTTTGGAGTTCAAACAAAGGGCAAAAAAAAAAAGTGAAGTCGAGAGTAAAGCACCTCACTCACCATCTATTGGTGAAATATATTGTGCCGGTTGGGGAATAAATGTATAGTTTATCCACGCCTGCCCTAAAATGAGTTACTGTAGGCCACTGAAACATTAGCGTTTCCAAAGGTAGCAGAAATACATGTATTAATTTATTCTTCCTTGTACATGTTGTTTGTCCATTCATCCATATAGAGCTGTCATGTTCCATGTTTGTTTACTTAAAAGCTCCCATATGAAACACCGAGAAGCTTCTGCCTCCATGTATGAATAATTGGCCAAATGCACTGGTCCAATAGACTGGACTGATGAAAAGGTTGTGCTTGGTGTTATTACTTTAGCATCAAAGTGATGCTAAATCTAAAACATGACGTGGACTGTAGCATGAGAGCTGCTTTGAAAAAGAAAACTGAAGACAAATCTGAATGAATATTCATTATTTCTGGGAATTGCAGGATATGTAAACAACTACAGTGATCATTCTGCATTTTTTGTTCAGCTTCAGTTTTCTGTGACTGTTTTATTCTAGTTTTGTCTCCATGTTCTGTAGCAAGTTTTCAGTCTCTTTTCATTGAAATCTCGCTCTTTTCGTTCGCTGTGCGTGGATTGATTGAGTGTCGTTGTCAATGTAAAACCAAACTCTCTTTTCTGTTCTCTAATTAATTTGCTCTTCTCTGCTGTTTCCCTCCGATGCCTGATCTGAGAACAATACACAAAGAAACGTGTCATGGCTTCAACAGCATATCATTTGTGTCAGTTGTTGACAGAACCATGTTTACACACAGACTTGGGAGTCCAATCACTGCTGTCACAGCCGCGAAAGATCAGTCAGTTATCCAGTTTCGCTAAATCGCTCTGAGTTTACTTAAGAGCAAAGTCAATAATTTATCCTGGCCATGCCACAGTGACAACAGAACAATTGAATACACATCCTTTAGGTGGCAGCACTTGGGTAATTAACAGGGCTGGTATGAAACCTGTAACATGGAAAGTGCCAACATTGACCTGTAACCAGGCAGCCACAGATAGCAGGGAATGTACAGAGCACGCTACTCATGTAGATACACAAACACACGATTAGTCAAGCGTTCATCCTTACATTTTAACCACTTTATCCCTGACCACCACTGAGAGGGACGTCCATAAGGTCCAACAAGAGGTTTAAATCAAACTGCCGGCTTAGAAAGGACTGATTCAAAGCAAAAGAAGTCAAATGAAAATGTTATCTGCTTTTGACTTAAGAAAACAATTACAATTTGTGGTTACATAAGAGAGCACGACAGAGCACTGAAGATGATTGTCTGCGCCTGACTCATTCAAACAGCACGGAAAATCTGCCAAAACTACCTTATCACCTTCTGCCATTTGACAGCTCACCTATTATATTTGAACTGCAATAGTATTGTTAAAGGGGATGAAAAGCAGCAGTTTTAACAGCTACTATCTCTCACTTACAGATGAAATGAATTCAAAGGTTCCTTGTTTGGTTGGGACACAACGTGATTTATTTTTGACATGTAACTTTAATTTTTTATCAGGTGGCTGGATTTTACAGCCACCTGATAAAATAATAAATGTAATCCCATGTCTTCTGCAGGGATTAAATTGTAATAAAAAAAGGCAGCATTGAAACCTAGACCAGATAAAAATCAGATGAGTCACGATCTGTGAAAGGCAGTGGTAATGAGACATGGGTAGTTAAAGGAGTCAGGAGGTGAACCCTGGGCATTTGACAGTCATGGCATTTGCGTGACATTCAACGCCTCTCACTTTTCCTTTTTTGTCTTTTAATAGCAGTAGAAAATATGACGGGTTTGATTTACGTTAAGAATGCCTGCAGCCACAGCCCCAAAGACACACACACAGAGAGAGAGAGAGCTTTGATAATACAGTTCAGCTTCAGTTCAGTTTTGATATGTTCATACAGCGTGAGTTCCAACAACAACATAAACATTTAAATCCATAGAAGCCCAGAAACATTTGGCCACCGGGGAATTAAAAACAACCGCAGTGACTCCACTGATGACATCACGAACATGCAGTAGGTGAATGTAACTCTACTGTAGCAACCAAAGAGGTTTTTTTTTGTTTGTTTTTAATTTATCTTTCTAGCTTGTAAATTGTAGGAACATGATTAAGTGTCAGGGCACACTATTAAAAGGTTGATGACTACATCCCGGTTTGGAATTGTTTCAAATTTTCAATTCACAACAAGCTGGATTTCAGTTTTTCTTACTGCTGTCAAACATGCATTTAAAGCACACCATACCTTAAAATGTTTAGAAAGAAATCTGATGACTGAGTGTATGAGCAGTGAAAAACACCTTGGCAACATAAAGTAAATGGGATGAACAGCAGACCAAGGTAGAGTCTTGTGTTTCACAGTGGAAGGATTGAATTGTTCAGTCAGTTTCAGGAGACGGTTGCCTCTGACCCTGAGTCTCTTTTTATCGACTGAGACTCAGTTAAAAGCATCGCCACGAGGGTGAATGACGAACAAGAGCGTCACATTTCATTCATCAAAACAGCGTTTATGTACTTTGTATTATTGATTATCCATGTTACAAATCCAGTGTTCTAGAGAAAACTCTTTTCCATCCAAGGCAAAAGCCGATGGGCATTAAAACACACAACACTTGTCTTTCTTTTCCCCTTTACCTGCAGTGATTTGGACACAAGAAAAAAAACTGATCCACTGAATGGTAGTAATTCAAGTCAGTCAAACTTCTTCATAAATTAGGAAAAAATAAAAAATAAAAATCCCCACTAAACATAGACCTTGCAAAAAATATCAAACCACATTGTCCTGACATCAGTTGGTGCTGTGATTGCAGTCAAATACTACGCTCTGAGACTTTTAAAGAGTACAGCCTTTGACAGGGAGATAAATAATTCACAGGGATATTAATTTGAACCCTATGCACCCTGCAGCAGCAAAAAAAAGTGCCTCAAGTGTCTTCTATCTTCCAGAGACTGTAAGCCAGGACAGACATGTTCAGACAGTAGACAGGGACTGACCTATTGTCTGTGTTTGTTTTTGGCTTAACAGCAGGACAGTATTCCTGATTGAGTCCATTCAGAGTCAGCTTAACAGCAGGACAGTATTCCTGATTCAGGATTCTCCATTCAGAGTCGGGTTGCTGTGTGATGTGGTCAAAATAGAACATGACGTAAGACTAAAATGAAGTAGAAAATAACATGGAGATGGAGAATGACTTAGGAGATGATAGACATCAGGGGAGCCTCTGTCACGACATATTGATGATGTAAAAAAGATAGAAAATCAACATTCTGTTGATATGGCTCTATTAGAGATGACCATTAGACATTCATAAACTTGTTTTTTTCTGTATAATTATTGGTATGTATCATATTAAAAGATTGGATGCACCATGTACTCATATTTTTCTATATTTTTCTGCATTCCTCTATTTATTTTGTGATCTGGTGATAATTTGAATTTCAACCCATTTGTTTTATATCCTCCTGCTCTATTAGTGAAACAAGAAGTCTAAAGAAGGATAAAATGTTGTTTAGAATTTAATGAAGTATAAAGCTTTGGACATGCAACCGCAAGGGAACACAGCTCATACATTTGAGTACATCGTGGACACGGCAGCAGCACGGACAGCAGGAGAATTCTCCTCGTCTCCCCTGATTACGCTATGAATCCATGGTAAATATGACGACATTTTCAGGAATATTCCGTACTGTCTAACTCTGCAGTTTCTGTCATAGATCAGAATCCCAGCGACAAACACATCCCCACTGTCAGGGTCTCTAACAGCCAGAGCTCCGCCTGCATCACCAAAACACACATTTTCCCCAAACCGTGAAATGGATGTGCAGAACATGTTGTCATCTACATCTGGTGTGAAGGGCTTTTTTTTATAGTAAGCCTTACAGCTGGAATGATTGGCGATAGGAAGGATGAGATATTTAAGTGATGTTGCAGGAGTTAGGAGAGCGCCCCAGCCCCAGCCTGAGATGATTCCATCAGTGATGTTGGTCAGGTCCTGTCCCCGCTCAGGGAGAGGGATTGGAGCCACTTTGTCACTCATCAGTACAGGCTCCTTCAGCTTGATCAGAGCCAGGTTGTTGTCCCAGTTAGAGTGGTTCAGAAAATTTGGATGGAGAACTATCTGTGGAGAGAAAAACATTTTTAATTTAGAAACTGTTTTTTTCTAATGGTAAACATTTTTCTTTTTGTTTCTTCTTCTATATTTCTTCTATATCTTCTATATTTCTATATGATGTAAACCACATGTGTCAAACTCAAGGCCCGGGGGGCCAAAAGCAGCCCACCATGCAATTTTGTGCGGCCCATAGGAGTTTGAAAATCAATTATTAATGTCTATGCAGCAGAAATTATTAACCTAAAAAAATCAGATTTTTTTATTACACAGCAATGAACAGTATTTGCAGCTTGAATAAATAATAATCAACTGCAGAAACGTGTATTAGTCTGTTATGGAGTAGTTACATCACCTAGAAAAAGTACATTGTTCCACTGCGGCCAGTACTAAATGATCTATGGACTGGGACTGGTCCGCGGACCAGAGGTTGGGAACCCCTGATCTATACAGTCTTCCATTTACAACCGGCCCTTCAAGGGGAACTGTAATGCTGATGTGGCCCCCTGGTGGAAATGAGATTGATACCCCTGATGTAAACAATGATACTCAATATGACAGGATATTTTCTGTCATTCTACTAAAACTAGAATAAAATGGAAAAATGGAAAATTAAGATGGTAAGACAATAGAAGCAGACAGGGTGTTCTCTGCTGCTATCATTGTATAAATTAAACCTAAATTAAGAACATGTTCACACCATTCAAAAAGCAAACATTGTTTTATTCAGTGACACTTCACCGGATGTTTGGCCAACGGTTCACTTTAACTGTCATGAAACACATATACACACAGTGGATAACAACCCTGATCCTCTTACCACTTGTTAATTCAACCTTATTTTGTGAGGTACAGTCTCACAAGATAAGAAAAGTCATCAACGACAAGAAGATTATGAAACAACAATGTGAACAGACAATGTCACGTTTCTTCATTTTTGTCAACGTTAAAAAACAATGTGGCGTTTTACTTACTTACCTTCTCTACCTCAACCTCGCTGGAAGCATTAGCTTCAGGCAGCCCTACGATTCCCACGTACAACTTTGGAATTAAGGGATCGTTCCGCTTCATTTCCGTTCTGTTCATCCTGACATAAAGGTTGGTGCCAGCCGTTAACACCCAGCGGTCAGAGATGAGAGTGCCACCAGCATAACCTTGACCCAGCGCATCATCAGAAACGTTGAGAAAAACCTGCCAGGGGACGTGAGGGGCCAGAAGTCCCCCGATCATTCGCCTGGAGCGTTGGGGTGCGAACCTTGAGGCTGTAGAATTATTATAATTGCAATTAACTAAAGTGTTTAGTGTCTACAAATGTATTTCATTCACACATATTCTGACAGATCCATCTATCTGTTTTTCCATCCATGAAGTTGTCTGTCTGTCTCTGTCTCTCTGTCTTTCTATGCATCTATCCATCCATCATCTATCTATCTCTCTATCCATCCATCTATCTATCGATATATATATATATATACATTTTCTTCATATACACTGAAAAAACATTATTTCTGGGACTCCAAGAGAACAGGATTTCAAAATGGTGATGTTTTTGCCGTTAGGCAAGAGCACTAACCACTCTTCCACTGAGTGAGTCAGGTCGGGTGACACAGTTCAGTCAGACATGTGATCAGAATGAACTACAACTCCAGGCTGAATCATTCTGTGGAAAACAATGAGTTGAAGGAGAAAGTCTTAGTACTCAGTGTGCATTAAATGAAGACGTGTTCTAAATATTTATAACGTCTCTGGGGCGCAATCGGTTAGCGCGTTTACGTATATAAGTTTATGTCCCAAAACATGTTGCCAAGTGAATAATTTGTGGAGGGCAGTGGTGGCTTAGTGGTTAAGGAAGCAGACATGGGTCCGGAAGGTTTCAGGTTTGAGTCCACCAGCTGCCAAGTTACCACTGAGGTGCTCTGAGCATGGCACCGTCCCCACACACTGCTCCCCTGGTGCATGAAGCTGGTCACTGTTCACTTTGGTGATGGGTTAAAAACAGAGGTCACATTTGGTTGTGTGCAGTGGTGAGCTGTGTCACTTTGTTCTTTACTGCACTAAAAAGCTGTTAGTCACATTGAGGTGCACATGAGTCATGAAAAAAATAATACTTTATCACTGAGTTCTGTTGTTAATAACACTGAAGTATCATGAATGAGTTTAAAAAACCAAAAGTCATTTTTGGAGGTTGTTCGTAGCATTTTCAAGAACAGACCAAGTTTCAGTGATTATTCACTAACATAAAGACTGTGAAGACGTGAAGTTTCATTAAGAGCAACTTTTCACAGGATAGAAATTGAGTTTGATTTACACATACAAGCATCATGTATTACTACATGTTTGATGTATTTTTCATTATCTATGTATATACTGTATATGGTTTTTATAATGTATATGTGTTAGCATAAAAACATCTTTTTACAAATTCATCAGACCTTACACATACATTCATACTGTATATGTGTGTGTGTGTGTGTTTTCAGTGTCTCACCTGACACTGAGCTTTTAACCGCCTCGGCCTCAGCAAGACAGGTCCATGCAGCCAACATGAGCACGGTGACAGAAAACCTTGAACCAAACACAAAGCCACGTGTTGAACAAACCTGAGAAAGTTCATTAGGTTGCACATGAAATACTACGACTTAGTTTTCAAAAATAACAAATGGTTGTCTCCAAACCTGTTGATCTACTGTTACTAACAAAACCTTAAACATATAACACCCCAGTGTGACCCCTGGTACAGACATGTACAGGTGCTCACCGCATTTTGTTGACAAAGGTATTTCTCCTGAAGTCAATGGTTCTGTGCGGTGAATTCAAGTGTTGGCTCTTCTGCCCGCTGAAATATTTATATTGATTTTGGGCCCTGTTGCAATGTGGATTTCTGGCCAATTCAAAGAAAGGGTTGTGCAATTTCTCTTAGCACACATTACCTTTTGTGCAACACGTATCAGACTCCTACATCTGAGGTCAAGGATTTCTATTATGATGAAAATCACAGCAAAAGAGCAAATATCATAACATTTGAACAGTTTTTCTGGGCAATATATTCAAATTAGATCTCTACATAAAGTCTCTTCTCAATCTCACACTGTCGACCACTAGATCCATGGCTTTTAAACACTTTGTTTGTTTTGATTATTTCTGTGATTTGTTGAAATCACTAGAAACCCTAGTAGTTCAAATAGGAGTACTAGTAATGGTAAGAGTAATTGTAGGGTAATAGTATTTGTATTAGAAAAGGTAGTAAATTGAGTAACACTATATATTAATAATAATAATAATAATAATATTAATAATAATAATAATAATAATAATAATAATAATAATAATAATAATAATAATAATAATAATAATAATAATAATAATAATAATAATAATAATAATAATAATAATAATAATAATAATAATAATAATAATAATAATAATAATATTGGTACTCTAATAGTGGCGCTATTTGAATGTGTAGTTATGATTGCTGTATCAAAGTGCTAGTAGCTGGTCTGAAATTGGTGAAAATTACAGGATAAACATTGATGAAAACAAGCCTAAAAGCCATCCCCAGTAATAATCATATAAAATTCCAAATACTACTCTGATTTGTGGTAAAAGCTGTAGCAGTGGTCAAGGTGGTGTCAAAAGAAGTAGTGGAGGTGGTGATGGCTGCAAAAACTACACTCAAAGTACAAATGCAACGTTGCTTCATTTAATCATTTTTAAGTAACTTTAAATACACGTACAAATGATTTTACCACCGTAAACAGAGACTACTGATTACGAGGCACACGCACACACATCAGCAAGTAGTTGTTTATGTGCGGCAGGAAAGAAAGTCCAATATTTCTGCTTCATCAGTCAGAGACAGAAAACCCATGTTCGGAATGAGGATGGAATAAAACTTTTAGCATAAACAGCAGAAACTGGGAGTTGATTAAATAAATTCTCAGTTTTTCACAGTTCCAGTTCTGCAGTGTGCCATTTTTCAGACACCTTGGTTTCCTACTAATATCCCAAAACATCCATATCGGAGAATTCTTTTCATTTTGTGTTTTCTAATCCTGGGACAGAAACCGACTGAGGGGTACATCATGTTTTTCAACTTTGGAAACTGCATTGCATAATTTGTCTTGAAGCATCTGCCAATTTCCAAAACAAACAGGTAACAGTGTGTGTCAGCAGGGTTGGATACTGATATGCCTGCGCCACTGTGTCATTAAATTCCACATTTTTCGTATGTGTCAGTCATACCCAGGATGTAAAGAGCAGCTGGGCGGTATTTCACCGTTGGGTCTCCGTCCGTATGACATGACCATCACGGTGTCGGGATCCTTTTAGAGGCCAATCCCAGCACATGAGAATATGGACTAAAGTGCATCACGGGACCAACATAAAAAAAGCCTCTGTTATACACAGATCACGGTGTACCTGCCGCCACAATGCCACCCACATTCTCCCAACTTTCCCATACAGAACAAGGTCGGCAAAATGTGTGGGTTTACATAGAAGTCCGCTTTCGCAGAATAAGAGTAACGTAACGGTGACATGCAGTGTGACAGTGTTGCATAACAACGATGACAGGTGAGCGTTTTTTTTCCCTGTTGACATCACGCAAACATAGGTTAGCAAATGTGATTAGTTCGTCTCTGATTTAATACATTTGACATAGATGATAAATATTTTGCCAGTGTCTCTGCAGCTTTGATATAAGGCTCACTCTCAGTCTTCAAATATATTAAATTCTTTAGGAAAATCCTATAATCCTTCAATGTGTTGACCACTAATAAAGCAAAAGCCAAGATGCAAATTCAATAATGACCTAAAGGTGACATCGCTGCTGCATGGAGGGAAATAGAAAGGACGTGACCTGTGTGTTGGATGTGACAACGCTGAGTACAAGCGTCCAAGCCACCGGCACAAATGTAGAAATGCAATTTAAAAAAAGGAATGACTAATAAATAGAGAGAGAGAGAGAGAAAGATAGAGGGCGATAGAGAGAAAGATAGAGGGCGTGAACTATGTGAGGTTTAGGGGAGGAGGTGTAGATGATGTAGAGATGTAGACATTGAGCTGAGCAAAGAATCCGAGGAGGAGGAGGGAGAGAGAGGGAGAGGGAGAGAGAGAGTGGAATAGGAATGGAAGAGGTGCAGGAGGAGAGAGAGGCTGAATTATAGAGAGCCACAGAGAGTCTTCATGTGCGCTAGAGGAGAATACACGAGGAGGAGGAGAGTACGGCTTCACCTTCGTCTCCAGAGGAGGATTTCCAGCCGACACTTATAATAATAATAATAATAACAACAACAACAAACTATAGCAGTGACGCTGATAGAGATTCTTCTGCTTTCATCATTTTTTTTGAAGTGCACTTCACGAGCGAGAGGATGTGGGTGAGTTTATCAAACTGATTGTGGATGTAGAATGAATCATTCTGAAAACCAACCAGATGGTTTTTCAGAATGATTCCAATGACGAGTTTAACTGTTTTATTTTTATTTCCACTTCTTGCCAGAGGTTTGCTTTCCTAACAGTTAATATTTCTGTTGCTGGGAGGACAGAACTGGGCTTCACTCTGATTAACAAGAATCACACAAGAGTCCAGTGCTTACAGTCAAATGAATGTGTCTGGCTTTTTGAACTATGAATGTGTTGTGACGATCACTCCAGAACCATTTGTTTATCTTTTTTTGTCTGTAGTTGCTTTATACAGTAGTGTATAATCACCTATTGTTACTCTCCATTAAACCAACGTGTTGGTATTTGTTGGTTCGATGAGAGAAAATTGTCTTCGACCTCTATCTGTATATCTCACACTCACCTTTACACATAGATTTATGGTTTGAATTAGGCTTTTTTGGAATTAAATCATTCAATCAAACCGAATGAAATTTGGAATTTTAGTGAATTCAAACCGATCTCATCTAATCTCAAAGAACAGAACAGCACACTGTGCTGTGAGAAATCAGAATCAGCTCACAGACATATACAGCAGCAGTACCTTTGATTTGACCTGTAGAGTGGATACACATGGGAGTTCAATCAACCAGGACCAGACTTGTCTTGGATGATGATCTTTGCCCCCTTTAATAGATTTCAAATGTATAAACCTGACTCCAAGTTCTGATAAGACATCGACATCCTTCGTATTTGTCTCGTCCTCATGTGAAACTCTAAGGCATTACTGGACTTAACAGACACACATCGTGTCTGACCGTACGTTTTTCAAAGACACCTGAACATGTTAGCTTTTGCCGCAGTTTTATGCAATTATGTTTTTTTCCTACTGACGCAATTATCGAGAAGCAGAAAATCTTCTAGTAATTATCTTTGCAGTTTTAGAACATAGACGCGCGCGCAGGAGTGGGCAAACTATGGCCCGGGGGCCGGATGCGGCCCATTCAGCTTTTTAATCTGGCCCGCCAAACTTTACCAAATTATATAATTTATTTATTTTATCATTATACTTCTGCCTTTTCCCTGCAATACCCACATTTCCTCCATAGATGGTGCAGAAAATGACAAATGTGTTTCAACCTTTTTGGCCTTTATTCATGCCTTTCAAATGTCATTTACCTTAGTTTACACAAACACTCCATCTTTCTGCTCCTGATCCTGCCCCCCTGTCAAATTTTAGGACCAATTGTGGCGTGCGAGTCAAAACGTTTGCCCACGCCTGGTCTAGAAAAAAGTTATATACAAAAAATATTCTCTGAGGAATTTGGTGGAATTTACTCTGAATTATGATTTGACTTTATCTGGAGAATCAAAATGAATATTGGAACTCAAAAGTTAATTCTTTTTTTTTAATTAAATAAGATCAAAATATAGTAAGAAAAGTGTTTTTGTAATTTTCTTTCTCAAGGCCCAGTTCTCACCTCAGAATACTCAAGCCTATTCAAGAGAGGCATTACATTCTTCTCCTGAAGATTTTATAAAATCTGACACTATCGTTTGAAATGTTAGGAAGTCTTAGTTTTTTTATTCAAAGGGGGAAAATATCTTGTTGAAAAATGAATAATTATGAAATACCTTAACATTCACAGCGAATTCAATTTGTCTTGGGAATCTGAGATCAGTGTTATAAAATCAGTAGTAAAATCAAAGTTTTTCTTTGTGTGTTTTTTTTTTCTTAATAAAACTCACTCCAGTGGACACCTCCTGAAGGCCAGACGAGACCTGAAGTAAAGATCTGTTCTGGCCCAGGGGTCACATGCCTGGTGTTACGGCAGATAGGCAAGAATTTCAAGAATAAACAAACCTTAAACAGCAATAGAATGAGCAGAGTGACAGGACGGGGTGTGAAGAGAGGAAGAGGTCTCTGTACCCATGTGCTGTGGCAGTGGGCCCTCAGGGGACACTGACTCTGTCTGTCCATTATTGTTGAACCTGACCTCAGTGGACGAGCCCGTCCTCAGAGCCCTGACCAACCCCCGACAGTCCTCCTATATATGTCAGACCTGTCAGTCAGACAGGAAGAGCTGTCAGAGACAATTCTCTGTAAAACGCTATGGATGGATGGATGGATGGATGATAGATGGATGGATAGGTAGATGGATGGATGGATGGATGGATGGATGGATGGATAGATAGATAGATAGATAGATAGATAGATAGATAGATAGATAGATAGATAGATCATTGTGTTGCAGATTGTACATTTCCAGCGAAGAACATTACCTTCTACATATGTGGAAGTAAAAATGTATAATCATCCAACTCTACACCTTTACTAGGTGTTTTTTAGCCCAGGCACAGAATCACACTACTGACAGTTTCAGCTGATCCAACTGGACCTTATTAAATCTCTCCTCTGCTCAAAAGACTTATTCCATGACTCACTGATGTCTGACATCAGCCAGAATATTTGTACCTTGTCTCTAACACTCTTTGTCTCATGGAGATTAAGTACTTGATGCAACATTTAAGCACCTCTCCGTGACAAATAAATGTAGTGTGTGGTTGGTCGGGAAAAAAATGTAATAACAAATATTCATGTATTAGATAAAGAGTAAAAAAGATTAGATCACCGTTTGGGTTTTTATTCTTAATACCAAATGACTAAAAGGTTAAGTTTGTTAATTGTGTGTGTGTGTGTGTGGAGGGGTGAGGGTTGGGGGGGCGATGTTTCCAGCAGTCTTACCACAGTGAATCAAAAAAATCTCAGTAAAATTCTTTCCTCATCTCCCTTTTTTTTTCTCGTCGTCACCAGTGCTATTAACAATGTAAAATGTTCAAGTAATTGGCCGGAATTCCACGAGCATTAGAATTAAACGAGTGCTGCTACCAAAACTGCTGCTACAATTTCTGAAACTGCAGCGAAAATTCAAAGGTTTCATCTTGTGCTAATACGTCCTCATTATGTTTTCTGACCAGTTAGATTTGACTAGTTAGTCATCGATCATTTGAAAGTCAGAAAGTGATGTCTGCAATTACCTTGTAACACATTCATACTTTATCACTATCACAAGGCTCAGTTATTCTGGGCCTTGAACTCATTGTGCGGTAAATGCAGAGGTTTGTCTGCCTCCTGATGTGTCACCTTCCTGCATGTGTCAAAACAGAAATTGTAATATTTATATATATATATATATATATATGTGTGTATATATATATATATAAATGTCAGAAGCGGGGGGCAATTACCAGAATGGACATTGTTGCAGTTGGCTGTGTTTGATTTTTGTTCAAAGGAGCTGTGAACAACTGTGCTTGAAAATTCAATAAGAACGTAAAATTGAACAAAGAACGACTTCAATCACTGTGATTGTACCAGTGGTCATGCTAGTTATAAAATGCACGCACCAAGATTAAAAAGCTGCATTTTCTGACAGGACTATGATGTACAGCGGCTATTTATTAGAAAACAGAACTGAGAAAGATATGACAAATTAAACCATTAAATTCATCTGGTCCATCTGCACAGCTTCATCATTACTTGCCAATCCAGCAGCATGAATGGTCGGGATTCATGCTGCTTTTTCATTTTTATAACCTGAGGCTGATAAGAGGAGGCGAGCTGGGCGATGAGTCTATAGAGGAGATTATCCTGCAGACCATATAGGAGCCATGACACTGGGGAAGTGGATATCGATGTGTTCCTTAAATCATTTACACATAGTGTACAGCTTACAACAAAGAGTGTGTTTATGATGAAAGGCTGAAGACAAGGACTTCTGGGAAACTGCTGTTTTGACCAGCTGACCGAAGCAGTTGTCAAATGGATTATGAAGAAACTGTAGACAAATTAATGCTGTTGAAAACAATGGCTCTCACCATTTTATACAAGCCACCGTTAAGATGCAGGTTGGACAAAATAATGACATGACCGTCATATTTGTCATATTTAGGAATGACTAGTTGGCTCGATTAATCATGATTAACCTACAGTTCTCCTGTGAACAATTCTACCTGATTTACAGCTCTAGTAAATACAGGTCTACACTTTCCAGAGTCTTCTGTAAATGACACATTATCACATTTAAATGTATTATTATTATTATTATTAAACCTGTATTTTAGGACAGAGTAGGTAGAAATGTGTCATATACAGAAAATACACAATAAAGAAATGACAATAAGGACTATTCTATTCTAAACAAAAGGAATTGACAAATAAAGAAAGAAATTAATTCAAATAAATCAAACAGAACTCAAAAATACTTCAATAAAACCAGGTAAAAATAAGAAAGGAAAATCAGAGTTATTCACTTTGCTTTTAGAATCCAAATGTTTTTTGTTCATTTCTTTTTCTTTTTGTGTTTTTTTTTTAACGCTTTTATCACTTTGTATTAGCCCCATAGTGTTTCGAAACATCGGGAGATTTGCAAATATTGAACACGAATAATGTTTTTTTTAAATGAAAAGTTATTCATTTTGTATTACAACTCAAAGTAATTCTGCAAAAAAAAAAAAAATTAAAACTGATTAAAACGGGGCCGTTTTCAACCATGGTCGAAAACCTTTCGACATAAATTTGTCTGGTTCTCACTATCAGTTGGAACTACAGCAAAAAAGTATAAATACTGCAGTTTCTAATTTCATATACTGAAACTGAAATCTGCAGCTGCAACAGCTGAAGGATGTCAACTCAGAAACCACCACATCAAGTCATCATCAGATGTGTTTGTCCACTCTGAGAACCTGGGCCATGGTCCTCACTCTGGTCTGAATGTGTCCATTCATATTAGACTTTGCTGTCGTGGATTTACTCCCCCTCTCCCTCACCCCTTTCCTGCTCCACAGCCCAGTGAACAACATAAATGATGGATAGAGCAGTGTATGAAGTTGTCAGCTCAGAGACAGACATTCAGTCCTGAACTGTTAGCATTGGCAGGTTCTGCAGTGTAGTTCATGGAAACAATGTCTGACCACAACATACACAATGATCAATATCTGGACTCACTAGGGTTCATAGTAAAGAGTTGGTGTGATAAATGCTACTCACCTCGGATAACTGGTCCCACGGTGCATCTGTGTTTCTAACAGTCCTCCACAGACCCACTGTCCCTCCAGCCGTCCATATTTTATCACATAAAGGTCCTGACATAGACACAGAGATACAAACCATAAATATACATCAGTTGATGCAAGTGGTTATTAAAGAGTTTCAATAACCCTTATAATCAAAAGGATAGTCATCAAGTGGTAAAGGAAAGTCCTTAAGCCCACAGTCATCCGAACACACGTAAAGACGTGGTGAATTATTTTCATTACCCTATTTAGCGGAAAATGAGCATTTAGGCAGTGAAATGTTTGATGCATTTGAGGAATGATGTATATTTGCATTTTACACCTGCGATTTCCCAATGCAACTAAAATATATTTTATAAACACTTTACATTAATTGGTCATATTTTGCAGAATTTATTTTTATTAATATAGAGTTATTATGTACAGTTTTTATGGATCAGATTTTCCACTGTGTGGCGCTTTGGCCCAGAGGCAACGTCT